TTGGGTGTGGGAGTTACGGTGTTATGAATTCAGGTGTGGTGGTCTTAAGAGGTGTGGTGAATTTAGTTGTGGTGAGTTGAGGTGTGGTGAATTAAGGTGTGGTGAGTTAAGGTGTGGTGAGAAAGTTGAGGTGTGGTGAATTAAGGTGTGGTGAGTTAAGATGTGGTGAGAAAGTTGGGGTGTGGTGAGTTAAGGTGTGGTGAATTAAAGTGTGGTGGATTTAGGTGTGGTGAATTAAGGTGTGGTGAATTTAGGTGTGGGGAGTGAAGTAGTGGTGAATTTAGGTGTGGGGAGTTAAGGTGTGGTGAATTAATGTGTAGCGAACTCAGGTGGAGTAAGTTTTTAAGCGGAGGTGAGATGAGTTGAGGTGAGTTAAGTTAAGTTAAGGGGTTAAGTTAAGATAAGTTATCTTTATCCTTATCTTCATATTCATCTTCATCTTCTTCCTCGTCTTGGTCTTCATCTTCTTCTTCATCTTTATCCTTTCCTTTATCCTGATCTAAATATGTCCATTCTTTTCTTCATTTACATATTCACCCCCACCATTGTTATTAGGTTAGGTATTTAAATTTTCCTTCCTCTTTGTCTTTATATTTAGGTTTCTTTACTTTTATTTTAATTTCTGTATTTATCACTTTCTTCTTCTCCATACTCAACTTTACCTTCTTCCTTGTTTGAGTCTAATCTATTCATGTAGNTCACTATCAATATTAAAGCATACATTTAGGAGGCATTTCCGCCCCAACCATGTACATGTATGGCATTGGTATTGGTGTGACTTTTGAATTGATTTTTTCGCTCTATTTTAAACTAATTTGAAATTTTAAAAATTGCCTGCACATCAGCATCAAAATACCTTTCTAATGATATATAATTGTTTATACCTTAGAAGTACAGTTTAGCCGTAAGAGGGGTGTAAAGGAAACATGATTGCCTATTTATATAATTGATGATGTATCAACCCTAAAAATTTGAAACAAATCAAACACATGAAGTGTGAACCCCGTCCGTTTTGGTGTGGAACACCCCATATGTAGATTGTATTTCGCCAAACAGGAAATTTTATGTATAGCTTTAAACGAGCTGCCAAACACCCGTTCGGTATATATGTAGTTCGCGCCTACCTTTACTGGGTACAAAATGTACCTGGACTCAGAAATCATGACAGTTGGTTTCTATACACTTTATCAATCCGAAAAATAACCAATTTTAGCAAATAAACAAATCCGTATTAATACAGTAAATTTATTTTCGCAAGTGCACGTATTTACTGAGTGCTAAAAAGCTTTCCTTCGAATCGCTGAAAGGTGCTACACAACCGATTTATTGCTCGATTATTGCCACTTAATAAAACTCATAAAAATACATACATATGTACATTTATGTACGTATATATATTTGCACGAAAAAAGTATGTAATTAAAGCTGACTTAATGTTAAAAATCGCTAGCTTGTTTGTGGACTTTTTGCATATACTATATGTAGATACATAGTACATTAGTCGCTAAAGCACAATTCCACTCGTCAACAATAAATCAAATAGATACCGTTGGAGTAATTGAAAAGCCAAATCTTCACATGAACATTGCGAATATCTAATAGCGAATACAGTTGATTTTATTATGGTTTGCTGTTGAATGACTTTAAACACAAACCCAAAACGAAATAAATAAAAGTCGATAAATGAATTAAGGTATTGAATGAGCGCGTTGAATGATCAATTTATTTGCCAATTACATGCATCAATCACAACAAATAGAGTCATATAAAATGTGTTTACATACTTATTTAGCTCCTGGTTAGTTAGATTGATTTTCGCTAACGATTTTTGAAATTAGGCTCGTATATATTTTTCGTTTTGATTTTTTCTGTTTGCTAACTAGCAAAATAATAAATATTGTGCCTTGTAGCTATGTAGGCACATTGGCGCGCAAATCACAAGCAACAGCTATTTTTCACATTTAAGTGGGAAATTAGCTAGCGATAAACGCACGCTTTACACGATCAAAAATGTAAATAGTTCAAACTAAGTAGGTATAATAATAACAATAAACAGTTATAGTAACTTTATATTTACTCAATTTCCGAAACGCTCACCCAAAATATGCCCTAAAAGTGGATTTTCGCTCGATGTTTAAATAGTAATATTTTATTTATTTATTTGATTTGTCTTTTTTAATGTTCGCCAAATTTAACAAATTTTATTAGCGATTTTTAACTTAAGTTTGAGGTTTTTTATTTCCGAAAAGCGATATGCAGATTGCTAGAGCAGCGCGAGCAAGTTGAAATGTATTTCCGAAATCGATTTGTGCTCTCTCAATTGCAGTCACATCTTGCAAACTTTTATTTCTAAAACTGAATTCCGAAATGTGACAGAAAAGTCTTTCTGGCTGTTCACGCATGGAAAAGCTGGAAATATTGCCACGTCTGACACGCTCTTTACTCATATGCGTTAAGCCTTTCATGGGGAAAAATTACAGAACAACGACTTACCGAGTACCAAGCTCGGTGTGAATACCCCTTATATTAATAATAGATTGGCCCTTACACCATATGTTACGTGTTGAGCCGAGCTTCTTTTCCGATTTGTGGCTACGCCTTGTAGTTGTCACACAAAGGGGAGCGACCTACAGTTTTACGTCGATTCCGAACGGCGATTTTATGGTAAATGGGGGAAAATGGAAATCAGTTCTTGATAGACATTTGTTAATATTTAAAACCGGACATAAATTGTTGGTAATTTAAAACGTGAACATAATTTTAGTTATCTAAAGCTAGACATAAATTTATGTTAAGTTAAAATTTGACATTTATTTTAAAATCGAGAATAAATTTGTGAAAATTAAAGCGATGGCCGAGCTAAGTTTAAAATTGCGATCATTTTCAAATTGGACATCAAATTTGGTAATTTTTTAGTATTATTATTATTATTATGGGGTGAAGCACTGCGACCTTAAGATCTATTGTGCCGATTCATGGATTTATAGTGTGGCTATTAATCCAGTATCCGAGAGAAACTTTAGTATGGAACCTAAATCTACGGATGTGAAATCCCCTCGCCCTCGGTTATTAGATGTTCACCTAGGTGTCTTTTGCGTTTGCGCATCAGTGCAAGACAGTCTTCTAAGATGTGCTGTGCAGTCTCGATATCCGTCCCGCATCGCTCCCGCGCGTAAATTCCCAGCTTAGTCAAGTGATAGTTCAGCCTGTAATGTCCTGTCAAAATTTCTATAACAATTCTTAAGTTATTCCTGGATAAGCTGATACATTCCTTAAAGCGGTTTAGGTTATATGTCCCTAAAAGTGCTTTGGACTACTCTAGACCTGGTAGCTTATCCCCTTTTCTTAAGCCACAGAAGGGCTCTAAGCCGATGAAGGGGGTTGATGCTTCATTCTTCGCCAGTTTATCGGCAATCTTGTTTCCTTTAATACCTATATGTCCCGGAATCCAGAGAACCCAAACTCGATTGGTCAGACCAAGAGTATTCTGCTTGTCGAGGCACACCATCACCAGTTTAGATGTTACCTGGTGACATCGGCGTAGCCAGAATGAAATTTAGGCGGGGGGGGAGGGGGGCTCGACCCTATTAAGCTGGCATTTCAGGGTACTATTTTATATATATATAAGGAAAACTTGAATGTTAGGGGGGCTCGAGCACCCCTCTGCCCCTACCTGGCTACGCCCATGCCTGGTGATATCTGAGGGCCTTGATAGCCGCTTGGCTGTCAGTCAAGATCGCGATGTTCTGCTCATTTTTCTATGGCGTATATTTCAGCCTGGAAAACGGACATATGTTTTCCCATGGATTCCGTGTATATTAACCTCGGTCCAACAACACCTACATACGCCGGTACCCTCTTCGGTCAATGAGCCATCAGTGTACTAGGTAATCATGTTTTGATTTATCCGATAGGTCCGGAATATGTCTACACAGCTCTTCTTATCACTCAGATCAGTTATGGACCTCTTTGTAAGAAACGGTAGCCCTCGGTTTTTCAATTTCAGAGCACTTCTTCGTAAGAATGTCCAACTTCCTACTATTAAGAAATCCTTCTGCTCCCATATTGGTACAAGTTATCCTTAGTAAAGCTCTTTTCGCCTGAGACTGCATTTAGTAAGATACATAAGAACTGAGCATTTCTTTTATTGACCTTTCAAATCGGACATTAATTTTTAGTAATGTAAAAACTGGCCATAATCCTTGGTCATATAAAAAGTAGAAACATATTTTCGGATATTAAAAACCGGATATAAATTGTCCATGATTTATAAACGGGGGAATCATTTTTTTGGAATTTTTCATTAATTTTCATGTCATCATTTAAAAACTGAACATATAAAATTTATTTTGACAAAATATAATACAACAAACGCATAGTTTTAAGGCATAAATACATACGTATTTATGTATTTTCGCCAAGGTTCATCAATCAAGTCAAGGGTTATTGATTAAAATGATCGATCTATATAACAAAACATATACCATAATTTATTTATACAAGGATAAATATATTGTATATACATACTTAAGCAGATATTCTTTTATACGAACATATATGTATGGCGGCCGCTGTGGTGTAGTGGTTAGCAGTGCGCGCTTCCACCTCGAAGGACCCTGGTTCAAGCCTTGGTCAAAGCAACATCGCAAAAAATATAGAAAAAAAGGTTTTTTCTTACCAGCTGTCGTCCCTCGGCTGGCAATGGCAAACCTCCGAGTGTATTTCTGCCATGAAAAACAGCTTCTCATAAAAATACAATCGCCGTTCGGAGTCGGCGTAAAACTGTAGGCCCTTCCCTTTGTGTGACAACATCAAGGCGCACGCCACAAATCGGAGGATAAGCTGGGCCAAACATTAACATATGTGTGAGCGCCAATCTATTATGATTATATGTACAAACATACATACATACATACATACATTGATAAGTAGTATAAACAAAAGCGTCTCACTTTCATAACATCTAATTTCTTTTCATTTTCTATACATTTCAGTTGGCCACCCGTTCCATCGAGCCCTCATTCGGCCTGCTCTTCGGCGATTTGCTGCGCGATCTCGATGTCGGCACCACCGGCGCTGCGGTTATTATGAGCACACTCGATGTGTGCATGAATTTCTCAGGGCTCTTTGTCGGACCGCTACTCAAGGAGTTTTCGTACCGAAAGGTGGCTGTCGCCGGCTCATTATTATGCGGCATAGGCTTGGCGGCCACCTCACCCGCAGCCAGCATGACACACATACTCAGTACGTACAGTGTGATCAACGGCATTGGCGTCGGTCTTTCAACATCTGCCGCCTTTGTCGCGCTTAATCACTACTTCAAGAACAAACGCGGACAAGCTGTTGGATTATCCATGGCTGGCACAGCCTTGGGTATGCTGATAATGCCACAACTGGTACGTGTTCTGCTCGAGGCGTTCGGTTTTCGTGGTGCTGTGCTAATGTTGGCCGGTGTCGCGTTAAATTCCACAGTCGGTGCTGTGCTCTTGCAGCCCGCCAAGTGGCATATGATCGATGAAGTGATCGATGAGGAAATGATGACGATGCCGGTGTCGCCACCCACACCGGATGTTAAAGTCATACGGGAGGATGGCAACGAAGAGGACGCGTTACCTGAGCTAAATACGTTACTCTTTTCCAAGCAGCAATATATGCGCAAGAATTACTCTGAAATAGCGATGAACACAATGAATGGCACGCGCACAGGCATGCCAAAGCGTCCCACGTTTCCGCGCATAATGTCGCTAGCCGGCGTGCAATCGGCGGTGAATACTAGCCAGTCTAACTCCGATGTGAATACGACGCTACGCAATCGCAAACATTCGGTTACATCGAATCTGTCGTACATGGACTTCACCGGTTCCATACTGCAGGTGCACATGAATGTAGGCGATGAAGAGTTTGAGCGCAATGATCGCGAGTTGAAGCGTGTCAACACTGCGACGGGTGGCATGGCGAATGCGCATCGCGATTCATTCATTAAAATGCGCCCTGCAGAGACTGATCAATATGAAGAGTCACCGGAGAAGGAGATGGAGAAGAAACCCGGCTTCTGGCGACGTTTCGCTGATCTCATGGATGTTGATTTATTGCGTGATAAAATATTTCTAAACATACTTTTCGGACTGTCCATCTTCTACGTCGGCGAGATGAATTTCAAAATGGTTACGCCATTCTTCTTTGCCAATCTTGGCTACAATAAAACAGATGTTGCCTTCTGCCTATCCATAACGGCCATCACAGATATTTTAGCGCGTATAATACTCCCGCCCATATTCGATCGTACTACCATCAAGAAGCGTACTGTGTTCTTGGTATCCATCATCTTTGTGGGCATCACTCGTTCGAGTAAGTATAATTATTGGTTCACTGATACATGTCAATAGCATGTCATACGGAGTTCACTTGGGCTGAAATATATTTGCTCCTTTCTTCATAGCAACTTAAGCGTAGCTAATAGCGGCAAGGTTCTCACATACATACATCCATGGGGAAAACGTCGAACACCTATCTTTATTTAACTTTTTGGACTGAGACTGGCGCAGAGCTAACGGGATGAAGGGTCCTGTACAGGTCGAAATTCAACCGTTTTCCTAGTTTTTAAGAGCCTTGGAGCCGAAAAATGTTCTGCTTTTGAACTAAAACGTCACTAAATTTTTTTATATTTTTGAAGGACTTCGGCAGGACTTAGAATTGATCCGACACATTCCAATTTATCGATAAATTTCAATAAATTGATAAATATCGATAATTCGATTAATTTCAAAAACACTAACATCCGATAACTCAACAAAATTCAATAAATCGACTAATTTTTAAGACTCTGAAATTCGAGGGCGCGATAAATTTCGATAACTCAAAAATGCATACTATCAAGCTATCAAAAATTTCGATAACTCGTTGTTCTCTGTTAACACGATAAAATTCGATAAGCAGTAATAACTCGATAAACTTATATAACCTTGAGCTTTCGATAAATCGATATATTTTGAAAATTCCATAAACTTCGATTCGATAAATCGACCAATTTCAGTAGATCAATAATTATCGATAAGTCAGTAAGTTGAAAGAACTCGATGCATTACGATAACTCGATAAACTTCGGCAAGTCTATAAATAATGAGAATTCAATAAATATCGATAACTTGATAAATTCTTTAACCTTAAATATTTCGCTATACCCATAAATTTGTATAGCTCGATAACTATCCGTAAATTTCGACAACTCAATAAACATTGATCAATTTGAATAATTCGATACGTTGCGATAACTCGATAAATTTCGATAGCTAAACTTTCATGATTCGATAAATTTTGGTGACTTTAATGAGTAAATCTATTTCGATTCCTATCGAAAAATTTCTGTTAATTTTCTTACACTTTAAGTTACTCTAATTCTTATGTATTTCTCATTGTCTCCATTTTCGTCTTTATCTTCACTTTTGCCTTCATTTCGTTTTTGTCTTCATCGTTATCATTTACGTCTTCATCTTCATATTTAACTTTATTTCAAAGTTTAATTTCAAAATGCGAAAACGGCTTGAATTGAAAAGGTTGCAACAACAACCATACATAAATACGGAAATTTTAAACCGACGATTTTGGCCGTAATTTTCAACCAATTTCGATGCCATGCAAACTCCCTTCTTCTACAGAAAAGTACCCAATGGTGTTCATGGTTTTGAAATTGTTCGGTAGAATATCCAAACGAACGGAGACAAAATGTATGTCAGCGTATTAATATATAGATGTTTTTTGAGCAGGAGTGAACCCCCGAACTTGGTAATCTTAAGAAATGGAAGAGAGATACTTTTAGACTAGCAAAGTGTGCGGACTCTAACGAGTTTTGAGACGAGTAGAGGGTTCTTCTAAAGATCTACAAGAAAGCCATACGTAGTGAGAAAAGAAACTTATGTTTTCTGAGATAGGGCGTTTTCCAACTGGCTGCCGAGATAGGTCGATCTTCCACTCAGCCATCGAAATATTGACTTCACTTTGTTTATTACATTATGGTGTTTTATACATAAGGCCTGAAGTTCATACTGTATAGTGAAATAGATATAAAGTTCTTAAAAACTTTCATTTTGAATGCCTCAAACCCAATAAGACTCAAAGATGTAACTATTTATAATTTAATATTTAATTGCAGTTATGGCTGAGCAAACCGGGTGGACACAACTGATGGTTTGGCTATCGATATGTGGTTTCTTCCGTGGCTCCGCCTTGGCCAATTTCACACTAACCGTCTCCGAGTACTGTTCGCTGGAGAAATTACCCTCGGCTTTCGGTTGGCACTTGGTTGGCAAAGCCGTATTTGTCATCTGTCTGGGGCCGCTGATCGGTAAGTGTGCACGCATTTTGTTTATTGTTTTTTTTTTTGCTTTTTCGGAGATGATTCTTACTTAATGCATACATATAACTCTTATCACCACCAAAACAGGTCTTATACGTGACGTCACAACCAGTTACCCCATTTGTATACACGCACAAACAGTTTGTATATTCCTTTGTGTTATCGCCTGGACGATCGAGTATGCGATCACATATTTGAAAGAGAAGAAGCAAACGACGGCAGAGGGTGGCATTAATGCCACAATTGGACCAGAAACTATTATCAAACACTAACACGTGCTTAATACGAGTATCACAGGATAGTTAAGAAATACATACATACATATTTTTATAAAAATATTTCAGTGAAACTTATACAAAACTACATACTTGTATGAGGAATACAAGCATGCAGATACGCGCAAAGGCATTTATGTATGTACATCTGGTAAATGTTCGTTTATGCAACGGAAAAAATAGTTATGTAGTTAACAAAATGAACACGAGTATATTAATAATTAAATATAGTACCTATGTAGGCATGTATGTACGTATGTGAGTTAGAATTTGTTTAAGCGACTTATGCATTTCCCGCATAAACAAAGAACAGCGAACACCCACACGCATTTATATTGCATTCCCGCATAAACACAAGTGCGTGTGTTTATTAATTGGGGGACTCCATTGGAGGAGTCGTGCTCTAGCTGCCGTAGGCTGCTGTGCAATGAGC